ATGGAACATGGGTGATATGGCAGAGGTAGCATAGGGACCTGAAATACTAAGAAGTGGTATCAGGAAAAGAAGGTTTTGGAGAAGAGTATTAAGGATGAGTGAGGGAATAGGATAATGTTGTATGGTGGAGGGGAAGGATATTCGTGCCTCGGGACAATATTTGAAGCAACTGAAGGGGTACAAGGGAATGGGAATACCAAGCTGGAAAGTCCTGGAAATTGTGGTGAGTCAGGGAGATAGGCACCAATTGTTGGATGCCTTTGAAGGAAATGGAGCAGTGAAACTGGTGTCTATAGCATGAGGTGCTTTATGGGGATGAAGTGTTTGGGGATGTTGGAAATGAAGTAGGAATGACAGACAGGCAGATGTGATGAGAGAGCAGGGTTATGCAGTTATCGGAGACAGGCTAGTGCCTGGTAATACCTGGTAGAGGTGTGTTGGTGTGAGGAGAGCATGGGGAAGCATCATACCGAAGGTATATGAATGTGTTAGGATAAGAAGGTATGGGAAAGAAATGACGGAAGTACCAAATAGTGGTACTGATTGTGGGGAGGTGACAGAGGTATGTGGTAACTGATCTGGGATATGAATAGCTGAGGCTGGAGAAGGATATAAGATAGCATGTGGGTAGCAGAGTGTAATGTGGCAGAGTGAGACAGGTTTATGAGTCACAAGTGACAAGGAGGAGTGACAGAATAGCAGGTGGGGAGATGTATTGATGCAGTTAACTTAATTAGATCTATATAGTATCATGTATAGACTTTATTGATGAAATGAGATAAAGGGAATGTGGAGAAGTAAAGTATATGGTGTGTAGCCAGGGTAAGAGTCCGTACACAGCAGAGTATAGCTGAAGATGTATTTTTTGACGAGTAATGTGTGGAGACGCTAACAGATGTATTGGCACAGGTGTACGGAGTTAAGGCAGTAGGAGTACTGGAATGCGAGACAGGTTAGTTGGTACGATGATGCCTAGGGAATATGGAGAAACTGGAGGAAGGAGATACCAGGATAAGGAAATACGAAGGATTTGTATCCAAGGTGGGTGGGCGTATGCAGCACTGAGTACACATGCACGCAGGGAGGTCTGGAACCGGGGGCAAAGGGGCGACATCTCCGAAGCGCACAACAATGGCGAGCTCTTTGCACACTCCAGAATATTGCAGCTGCAGCAGTTGGGGGTGCAGTGGGGCCAGCAAGCATTGCCGAGCTGATCCTTTGGGGCCACGTTTTTTAGAGAGGAGAAACAAAGGTTGCATTGGCACGGTGGGGAGGAACATGTCTAATTCTGCCAAGGAAGGGGCTGTACTGAAGCCCTGAGGGTAGGGTGCATTTGAAGGGAGATGTTTAGGGAAGGGTGCGGCAGCAGGTGTGCTGGGTGAGAGGCCTGGCGAGTGGACTGAGGTGTTTGGGTGCAAAGCGGGGAGGCAGTGGGGATGTCTAAGCAGTAGGAGGTGGACAGATGCCTGGCAGGAAGGATGAAGTAGGGAGGAGCAGTGAGGAGGATGTGCAAAGCCCCTGAGCGGGGCATGCGTGAGTGCACGCAGGGTGAGCGGTGCCTGAGCTGAGCAGCTGCGGCGGTGCTGAGCCAGAGGGGCAGGGGAGGTGTGCGATGAGGACGAGTGTGGTGGGGGGAGCAGAGAGGGCCAGAGGGGGCCCCCTAAGGGAGGCTGGGGTGCCCGGGGGACAGCCAGGGCAGGAAGCAGGTGGGCGCTGCCAGGGTCCTCACTGCTGCTGTTCCTGCAGGGGTGACCGGGCCGCAGCTGCCATAGTAACACGGAGGACGCCGGCGCTCAGCGGTGCCTGAAGGAGCCCCCGCAAGCCGCAACCAGACATGGT